TAGCTCTGCACGCTCGATTTTTCAGAGTTGGGGCTCTCAGATATGCTTAGAGGTTCCGAGAGGGTTATGCCGATCGTGTTCTGGGTGAGGGTCAGACTAGTTCTACCCCTGATGAGGTTGACAGGGAGCTAGAGATTGATCCTCCGGGTATTTATGCCGATCCAGACTCCACCGCTACTAAGGGCATATTTGATGAGTGCCAAGAGATTGCCTCTTCCCGGATCACTCCTACTCCCTCTACCGCTCTGACTTTAGATGTTCTTTCTCTGTCCACCGTGACTCCATCTGTTACTGCTGCTAAAGATAACCTCGGCGGAATGATTCTTCCGACTCTACTGAGGATAGGACTTAGCAAAATGATTCTGTCATTCAGCTCGACTCTCCTCCCCGTGAAGATGGTAACGCCAATAATGATGAGGAGGCCGTTCAGCACCATCAAGAAGCTGATGGAGCAAACGCTTCTAGTTAGAACCTTTTTGATGTATTGACCTTCCTTCTTTTGTATTTTTACCATCTGTATACCTCATCATTTTTTGTAACTCTTAAACTTCATCATTAATGAAATGGCCGACTTTTGATCGAACTCTTACCATAAATCCCTTGATTTAATGATTCAATGCTATTTAATCTGGTTCCTCCCTGTATGTCAGTGGTTGGCTTTCAGCTAGTGTGTCACAGCAGAAGTTTTTTGTGCAAGTTTCTGGCATTTGGCTCATGGTGTTAATGGCTACTTATTTTGCTGAGCGGTTGGCGCTTGGCTAAAATGCCACTTTCAACTTTCATTTTATTTTTTGGCAAGTTTTTGGCGTTCGACTCATAGTGCCAGCTACCACTTACTTTGCTGAGTGGTTAGCGCTCGGCTAGAATGCCACTTGCCACTTTCTCTTTTTTGTTGTTTGGCAAGTTTTTGGCATTCGGCTCATAGTGCCAGCTGCCACTTATTTTGCTGAGTGGTTGGCGCTCGCCTAGAATGCCACTTGCCACTTGCCACTTTCACTCTTTTGTTTTTTGGCAAGTTTTTAGCATTCGGCTCATAGTGCCAGCTGCCATTTACTTTGCTGAGTGGTTGGCGCTCGGCTAGAATGCCCCTTGCCACTTTCACTCTTTTGTTTTTTGACTAGTTTTTGGCGTTCGGCTCATAGTGCCAGCTGCCACTTACTTTGCTGAGTGGTTAGCGCTCGGCTAGAATGCCCTTTGCCACTTTCACTATTTTATTTTTTTGGCAAGTTTTTGGCTTTCGGCTCATAATGCCAGCTGCCACTTTCTTTACTGATTTTTAAACATTCAATTTTTGCATAAGAAGATATCTTTTTATAGATTTCAAAATTTTATTCATTCGTGTGTACACAATTTGAGAATGATCAATGATAAAATTGGAACTCGATTTTCTATTGATAATACCTTTTCAGAGACGTAGCATTCCATGGCTTGTTGACTAGCCTTTCAGCCATGGTTTCTAAAGTGTAGGCTCCCTTCCCTAAGACTTCTGCAACTCTATATGGGCCTTCCCAAGGTGTCACCATTTTCTTAACCATTTCCTACATTCTTCTTCAGAACCAGATCACCTTGTACGAAGTCTCAGTGCTTTACCTTTTTGTTGTGGCTATTTATAAGTGTCTGTTGGTAGGATGCAAGCCTTACTGCCACTGCATCTCTTTTTTCTTCCAACATATCGAGGTTAAATCTCAACATATTGTCGTTATGCTCTCGGTTCCATGCTAAGCTTCGGACAGTCGGAACCAAGTGTTAAACCGGTATAACTGCCTCGGTACCATATGCCATAGTGAATGAGCTTTCTCCGGTCGGTCACCTTAGGGTCGTTCTATAAGCCCATAAGACGTTCGGCAGTTCGTCTAACCACTTTCCTTTCTTATCTTCAAGCTTCTTCTTGATGCAAGTAAAGATTGTTCTATTCGTGATTTCTGCTTGTCCATTAGCCTGGGGATGACTTACTACCACCAGCTTTTGATTAATTCCATATTCCTCAAACAACTCTCTTACTTGCTTGCTGTCAAGGTTGGTCCCATTATCCATGACGATTCACCTTGGAACACCAAACCGGTAAATAATATTACTCCAAATGAACCGTCTCACATGAGTTTGAGTTACGCTCGGGTATGGCTCTACTTCCACCCACTTAGTAAAGTAATCTATAGCCAGCAGCACATACTTGTTCTGAGCTCTTGCAGTTGGCAGAGGACCAACCACATCGATCCCCCATTGTGCGAAAGGCCATGGTGTGGCCATTACGTGTAAGTCCTCAGGTGGTTGGTGGATCAGTGGTCCGAATCTTTGGCACCTGTCGCACCTTCTGGATAATTCTTTTGCGTCTCGCGACATGTTTGGCCAGAAGTACCCTTATGTCATTGCTTTGTGCGCCAAAGACCTTCCTCCTGAATGGTTTCCATATACACCATCATGAATAGCTCGTAATATCTACCGAGCCTCTGTGGGGGTGACACACTTTAAGTACGGCCCGGAAAAAGATCTTCTGTACAACTGGTTATGCATTATGGTGTACTTTGCAGCATTTGATTTGATTTTCCTAGCCTCATCTCTTTGCTCAAACAAAGTACCATCCCAGATGTAAGTTATGATCGGATCAATCCAACTTGGCTCATATGGAATAACATTCACTTGCCAAAGATCTGAGCCCGAAGGTTCTTCAAAAATAGATGGCTGGTTTAATATTCCTACTGGAACCACCCTTGCCAATGTTTCTCCAGAACCTGAGGCACTACATGCTAACCGATCGGCATCCTCATTATGCTCCCTTGGAATTTGAATGAATTCAATTTTTTAAAAGTTTTTGGCCTCCCGCATAATAGCAGAATGATATGCCTCCATTGTTTCATCTTTGGTTTCATACTCGCCATTCACCTGCCTAACAATTAATTGCGAGTCACTAAAAATAGTCAAATTTCTGACCTTCAGCTCCCTGGCAAGCTTAAGTCCTGCCAGCAGTGCTTTATACTCCGCCTCATTATTGGTAGCTCTGAATTCAAGCCGGAGCGCTTGACTTAAGGATGTACCTTCTGGCGTCTGCAGTTTGATCCCAATGCCTGTACCCATCTGATTTGAAGATCCATCGACAAAGAGTTTCCATAAGCAACCACGGAGGTCTTCCTCCATGTCCTCTGAATCACATTCCAGTAAAAAATATGCCACTGCTTACCCTTTAACTGCCGCTCTGGGTTCGTATGTGATATCAAATGAGCTTAACTCTATGGCCCACTTTGTCATCCTTCTTGAGAGGCCTGGTTTGTGCAGGATTATTTTGATAGGAAAGTGGTTAGAACGATGATAGGATGGGATTTAAAATAATGCCTGAGCTTTCTTTTCGCATGCACTAGCGAGAGTATCACCCGCTCCGCCTTTGAATAACGTCTTTCGGCCTCAGTCATTGTCTTGCTAACGTAGAACACTGGATATTGCTTCCCCTCTGCACAATGGATCAAAACACCACTTGTCGCGATGCTGGATACTTCGAGATACAAAAATAGCTTTTCGCCTGGTTCTGGAGCTGACAGGAGAGGAAGGTTTTGCATATACTCTTTCAGAGCAGTTAATGCTAGGTGGTGTTCATCCCCCCAAACTTGCCTGCCATGGCTTCGTATTGTGTCAAAAAATGGTTTGCAACGATCTGACAATTTGGAAATGAATCGGCTCAGTGCAGCGATCCGTCTCGTAAGTGTTTGCACTTCTTTGACTGTCGTCGGCTGGGCATTCTTAGTCAGAGCTTCTACTTGGGCAGGGCTTGCCTCTATGCCTCTATGATTAACCACGTGCCCCAGGAATTGGCCAAAACTTACACCGAATGAGCACTTGGTTAGATTGAGCTTCATTCCATATTGCCTCAACACATCAAATACGTCTTGTAGATGTTTCAGATGGTCAAATTTCTTCTTACTTTTTACCACCATGTCATCAATGTAAGCCTCCACGGTCTTCCCTATTTGGCCCTTAAAAATTTTGCTAATAAGTCTTTGGTAAGTTGCTCCGACATTCTTCAGTCCGAATGGCATGACTTTGTAGCAATACGTCCCGCGTTCGGTGACAAAAGAAGTTTTCTCTTCATCAGTAGGGTCCATGGGGATCTGATTATAACCTGAATAAGCATCTAAAAAGGTCAAACGTTCATATCTAGTAGTTGCATCCACCATTTGATCAATCTTTGGCAGCGGAAAGCTATCCTTCGGACAGGCTTTATTTAAATTGGTGAAATCAATGCACACTCACCATTTCCCATTCTTTTTCTGCACAACAACAACATTTGACAACCAGTCAGGATAGTACACTTCTCTTATAAATCCCGCATCAAGTAGTCTGTCAACCTCCTCGGCTATGATATGGTTACGCTCTGGAGTAAACCTTCGCTATTTCTGCTTTACAGGTCCTGCATTGGGATTTACGTTCAATGAGTGACAGGATACAGAAGGGTCGATTCCAGGTATGTCTAGGTGGCTCCACACAAATACATCGACGTTTTGAGACAAGAAATCAACTAACTCCTGTTTCTCCGCCACATCAAGTCGTTCCCCCACTCTGGTTGTTCGTTCTAGCTAGACCCGATCGATCTGTACATTGACCAAGGGTTCTTCAGTCATGTCCACTGGCTCCTCCTCCCCATTCTACTTGGGGGAAGGTTCTTGTAATTGCTATCTCGGGCTTGCCGAACGGATGGGTGCTTTCCCTTTTCCAGTATACTTCAGCGTTACTAAATAACACTCTTTAGCCGCAACCTGGTCTCCATGAATGTCGATCACCTTAGCTCTGTCTGGCCCCAGGCATCTCATTACTTGATGCAAAGTGGAAGGAACACCTTGAACTCGATGGATCCATCCTCTGCCCATCAGAAGGTTGTAAGAGGGATAAATTTCGACAACCACAAAGGTTTCCATCAGAACCCTCTCGGTAGCATGTATCGCTACCTCCACCGTACCGATGGGCTCCACTCATTTTCCATCAAACCCTAGTAGAGGATTCCTGGTGGATTTAAGTCAATCCTGCTTGATCTCGAGCCCATCAAATGTATCCCTCGGCATGACGTTCACACTACTTCCAGGATCAATCAGAACTCTGCTCACCAAACATTCGGCCACTGTCAAACTGATGACCAACGGGTCCTTATGAGGGATCTGAACACGCAATAGATCTATTCTGTCAAACTTTATCTGTGTTGATGCGCTCTGTTGGTGTAGAGTGTTTACACTGCCTATCATTCTCTTCATCCGTGCCTGGCCAAGGCGTGTTCGAAACAGTTCATCTAACTCCTCAGTAGGCTCAGGCCGACCATGAATTGCATTAATTATTCAGACTGGTTGTGTATTGTGAGAGTTCGACTTCTGATTCCTCTTCACGTGCTCCATTGGTCGGTTTTGTTCCACCGTCGGGCCTTGAATATAACTTGCGAACTCCCCTCTAGCTATCAGCATCTCTACCTGTCTCTTTAGGTTCCTGCATTCGTTAGTCTGATGGCCAAAGTCAGAATGAAATGCACAATGCTTAGACTGATCCCTCTGTTTGAGGGGTTGTCTGATTGGTAAAGGAGGTCGGAACTTATCTTTATTTTCTTGGTACAGCCTTGCTAAGGTAACTTTCAATGGAGTAACCAGCTCTTCCTCTCTGGGCCTCTTCTTAGATTTCTACGAGGAACGTTGTGGCTGAACCTGCTTTTGTCTGATCTTTGCTTTGGTTTCTTCCTTCGTGGATATGACATATGTCTTCCGAGAGTTTGCTTCCTCTTCTTCTTCCGAGCGCACAAATCCATCAGCTCTTTCATTAAGTTAGTCCATAGTCTTCGGCGTGTTCACTACCAAGCTTGTGCGTAATGGAGTGCCACGAGTCATGGCCAGTATAAATGCTTGAACCGCTGTAGAAGGGTGACATTCAATCACCATGCTCTTGGTAAGGTTAAACCTGGTTAGGAAAGCTTGGAGACGCTCATCGTCATGCTGCTTCATTGTGAATAGGCTCAAAATGTCCTTCGCTGGATGCTTATTTCCATAATATTGGCTTATGAACCGATCACACAAGCTTCGGAAACTATCCACTGAGCCCCTCGGCAGGTTCTTAAACCAATTGAGCGCTAGTCCAGCCAGACTCGTAGGAAAGCACTTGCACATCAAAGAGTCATTCTCAGTGTTCAGAGCCATTTTCAACTGAATGTGATACACATGATCGATCGGATCGGTCGTTCCATCGAACAGAATGAAAATGGGCATGGAAAATTTCCTCAGACTCGGAGCATTCAGGATCTCATCGGTAAACAGTGAATCAACCATTCGAGCTGCTGAACGGAGTGCTTCATTTTCCCTCTGGAACCCGTGGTTGTTCTTTGGTCTACAGATCTCCTCTCTGAGCCGCAATAGTCGAATGTCGCCAGGGAAGGCCGATAAGTCGGATCGAATGATCTATCCTCAACGAACTCTCTGTGCCATGGAGGTATAACCTTGTGACGAACAAACTCTATTGTTTTACCTCGACTAAGCATTTCTTGATGTGGATCAAAAGTCATGGCTTCATTTTGCCTGATCTGCTCACGCCGTGGATCCACGTGAGTCGTGTAACGACCCTAGCTGATGCCAAGAATTTTACAAAAAATTCGGCATAACCTCCCCTAAAAATAGGCCTACCATACCCTGTTTAAATTCATTTTTTACCTATCATGGCTCAAATTCTGAATTCACGGCAACAGTATATGATCATACACAATCAAATAACACCGATAATTACTTTAACTAAAATTATCCTTCCCATTCATCAACAAGGTTACATGACAAAGTTTTGCAAAATATACATATATACCTTTATACTTTTAGTGCTTTGCAAAAATAATGGGAAATATACAAAAGACACAAAAGTGAGCTTCTAGTATCGCTCAAGCTTGAGGTGGGTTGTCGTCCACCGATTCTTTTCCAAGACCTGAAAAAAAATGTATAAATAGTAGGGTGAGCTATATGCTCAGTAGGTGACACTTAAGACACAAATCTTGTGTCCTTGTGAATTCAAGCAAAGCATAGGCCAATGGGAGATAGGGATCATACAACGTAGGGGATCAAATACAATATACAAGTCAATTCTAAGTATAAACAATGCAATGCAATGAAATGACATGCAATGCATGTCAATGACACTCCCCATTTTCATTCTCAAAATCATCACTTTCAAACGTTAATACAGCCCGCCCTTTGGTAACCCCGCCGCGACACGAAAGGAGGATTGGCTAGTGTCCCTGACCCTTGGTAACCCCGCGGCGTCATTATGGGGCCCAGCTAGCTCAACCACGCTAGGGCGACTCCCTAGTCCCCTCTAGGCTATATTAACCTCCGGCCCGTTGGTAACCCCGCAGCGACCGGGTTTCGCATAAAACCATTTTATCAAAAACACTTCCCTGAAATTCCCCATATTTATTTCAAGAACAATTTCTCCCATTTCATGCAAACCCAATGGTATGTGCATGTATATATGTTCCATACATTCAATGTCATGGCATTTAAAATTTTCCATCATAAAATTAAACATTCAACATGTTCAACATCTCCCAAGTAATTATTAACACATTAAAATACAACAAAATACATTTAAGCATGTGCATGTATATATATATATGAGCTCAACATCATCAATTGGGAAATTTGGCGCAATTTAAATAAGCATACTCTCAAACATCAATTTCAGCATGCTAGCACATAGTAAACATAGGAAATCAACAACTAAATATAATTTGCACATGAACCAACCATATTAAAGATCGTGAAAACCCTCTAGACATCATTAATACCATCATAGATATAATTAACTCTAAATTAAGCATATTTAATACAACATGGAGGTAAAGTTCACAATAGAACAACACTAGAGTGGATTAAGATGCCCCTACCTCAAAATAGGCAAAACCCTATAAATGGGTTTAAATTTTCGAGTTCCAAAGAAGGCTCAAAACTGGAAATTGCTTGCATCAACGCGTAGAGCTCGTCACACTCGTCGTTTTGCCTCAAACGGCACCTAAATCCGGCAAGTAATGAAGATGGAATCAAGGATTGAAGTTGAAAAAGAAAAAAGAAAAGAAAAAAGCAGAAGCAGCGAGAGAGAGAGATATGAGCTGCCGAGAGAGAAAACAATTTGGAAATAAATGGGTCTGCAATGACCCTTATAACTCAAGTGGGCCCCACAGTTGAAAAGTCAAAAACTTTACATTCTCCCCAACTTGAAAAAAGATTTCGTCCCCGAAATCAAGACATACCTGGAGAAGAAAACAACGCTGGGTACTTGGACCGAACCTCCTGTTCGAGCTCCCAAGTAGCTTCCTCGACTTCGTGGTGTCTCCAAAGGACTTTCACCATTGGTATCGTCTTGTTCCTCAACACCTTCTGTTGTGTGTCAAGAATCTAAACTGGTCCTTCCTCATAGGAAACATCCTTATCAATGTCCACATCAACCCAACTCAAAATGTGAGATGGATTTGGCTCGTACTTCCGTAACATCGATACATGGAAAACATTATGGACCCTATCCAACTGTGGTGGCAAAGCAAGCTTGTAGGCAACCTCTCCTACTCGGTCCAAAATCTCAAACGGTCCAATAAATCGTGGCGACAACTTGCCACTTTTTCCGAATCTCATCAATCCCTTCCGTGGAGAAACCCGTAGAAAAACATGGTCTCCCACCTCAAAGGATAACAGTCGTCTCCGCTTATCCGCATAGCTCTTCTGTCGGCTCTGAGCTATAAGTAACCTCTGTCTTATCAACTTAATCTTCTTAGTAGTCTCGAGTACAATGTCGGGTCCTAAGGCGGCTGTCTCACTTACCTCAGTCCAACAAACAGGAGACCTACAAGGTCTACCATACAACGCCTCAAATGGAGCCATTTGGATGCTCGCCTGATAACTGTTGTTGTAGGCAAACTCAATAAGTGGAAGGTGATCCTCCCAACTACCTCCCAAATCAAGTACACATGCCCGAAGCATATCCTCCAAATTCTAGAAAGTACGCTCCGACTGACCGTCCGTCTGTGGATGGAATGCCGTACTAAGATGCAACGCTGAACCAAACGCTACTTGAAGTCCTTCCCAGAACTTTGAAGTGAACTTAGCATCCCTATCTGACACAATGGTTACAGGAACTCCATGCAACCTTACAATCTCCTTCACATAAAGAACACCAAGCTTCTCTGCATCATCTGTTGCCTTAAAAGGCAAAAAGTGAGCCGTCTTGGTCAATCTGTCAATGATGACCCATACGGCCTCATTGCCCCTCCGTGACCTTGGAAAACCTGTCATAAAATCCATAGCAATATGCTCCCATTTCCATTGCGCTACAGGTAATGGTTGCAACAAACCAACTGGCCTCTGATGCTCGGCCTTCACCTGCTGACAGGTAAGGCATCTAGCCACAAACTGTGCAACATCATTCTTTATCCCGCTCCACCAATACTGACGTCTCAAATTGTGATACATTTTAGAACCACCTGGATGAACTGCAAAACGGGAAGTGTGAAACTCCCGTAGGACATCCTCACGACAAACTGTGGGAACCACCAACAAACCCCTGAACCGTAGACCCCCATCTGCATACAAGGCCCAATCTTTCACTGTCTCACCACTAGAGATCAAAGCGTGGATGGCATCTGAGTCCGGGTCCTGTCTCTGTGACTTAATCACTCGTACAACAAGAGTAGGCTGACCCACAAGACTAAATAAGAATGCCGACTCACTGCAACCATCAACATCACAACATTGTAATCCTATCTCTACCAGACCTTCAAGCATCTTCCACTTCCGAATAGCTAAACTGGCCAAAGTTCCACGAGATTTTCAGCTTAAGGCATCGGCTACAACATTTGCCTTGCCCGGATGATACTGCAAATCAAAGTTGTAATCTTCCAAGTACTCAACCCATCGTCTCTGTCTGTTGTTCAAGTCCTTCAAGCATCTTCCACTTCCGAATAGCTAAACTGGCCAAAGTTCCATGAGATTTTCAGCTTAAGGCATCAGCTACAACATTTGCCTTGCCCTGATGATACTGCAAATCAAAGTTGTAATCTTCCAAGTACTCAACCCATCGTCTCTGTCTGTTGTTCAAGTCCTTTTTTGAGACTTTTGTGATCTGAAAATACCTCGAATCTCTCACCATACAAGTAGTGTCTCCAACACTTCAAGGCAAACACAACTGCCATTAACTCCAAATCATGAGTAGGGTAATTAAGCTCGTGAGTCTTCAACTGTTGAGACCCATAAGCCACTACTCTACCATCCTGCATCAACACACATCCCAACCCGTCACGTGAAGCATCACAATAGATCACATAACCCAAGCCACGCTCAGGTATCACCAACACTGGAGCTGTAGTCAATCTCGTCTTCAACTCCTAAAAATATGAATCACAGGCCTCATTCCAGACAAACTTGACCCCTTTCCGTGTCAAACAGGTTATAGGAGCTGCCAAACGGGAGAAATCCTTCACAAATCTCTGATAATAACCCGCTAAACCAAGAAAACTGCGGATCTCAAACACATTCTTGGTTGCTCCCAAGTCAAAACTGCTTCAACCTTTGATGGATCAACTGATACTCCACCTTCTGAAACAACATGCCCCAAAAACTTCACCTCCTGTAGCCAAAACTCACATTTCTCGTATTTGGCATACAATCGGTGTTCCCGCAAAATCTGTAAAACAATACTCAAATGGACCTCGTGATCTTCCCGAGTCCGTGAGTATACAAGAATGTCATCCACGAAAACTACCACAAACTGGTCCAAGTAATCGTGAAAGACGCTATTCATCAAGTCCATGAATGCCGCTGGCGCATTAGTCAAGCCAAAAGGCATAACAAGGAACTCATAGTGTCCATACCGTGTACGGAATGCTATCTTCGGGATATCCTCATCCCTAACCCGCAACTGATAATAGCCAGACCTCAAGTCAATCTTCGAGAAACAACTGGCTCCCCTCAACTGATCAAATAAATCATCTATCCTTGGCAAAGGAAACTTGTTCTTGATGGTGGCATGATTCAACTTCCGATAATCAATGCACAACCTCAACGAACCATCTTTCTTCTTAGCAAACAAGACCGGTGCGCCCCACGGTGACACACTCGGTCGGATGAAACCTTTCATCCTCAAATCATCAAGCTGCCTCTTCAATTCTTCCAGTTCAACTGGTGCCATACGATACGGTGCCATAGAAATCGGCGCGGTACCTGGCATTAACTCAATAGAGAACTCCACTTCTTGGTGTGGAGACAACTCTGTCAAATCTTCTGGAAAAACATCCAAGAAGTCACAAACAATCGCCGGATAAACTTCTCCCACGACATCATCTTCTTCGGCTAGAAGACTAGCTAAGAAATAATCACCATGACTTCATCCACGAACTCCATAAAACGATGAAATGTGGGACTCACTCCGATCTCCCACGAAAAAGAAACAGTCTCCATCGGAAGTGCAAACTGTAACCCTTCCTCTGTTACAGTCGATCGTGGCATGAAATGAAGCCAACCAATCCATCCCGAGAATGACATCAAAGCTAGTCATCTCCAGGAGGATAAGGTCAAACACGAAAGTCCGCCCGACTATCACAATGGGACACTCTCGCACAATTCGGCTCAAAGACACTGAAACCCCAACTGGCGTATCAACACTCAACGCCCGTTCCAAGAAACTAACTTCCAACCCCGATGCAAGTGCAAATGATGATGAAATGAAAGAATGAGATGCACCAGAGTCAAATAAAACACGGGCCCAACAACCAAACACTGGAAATATACCTCGAAGGACTGACGGTCCAGAAGATGCATCAGTCTGTGCCAGTGCAAAAACACGTCCCTGTGGTACCTGTGCCTGATGACTGCCAACCTGAACACCTGGCTGCTGCACTGACATAGTAGGAGTATCCCTCCTAACTGATCGTGAACCCTGTGAAGACATAGTAGGCTGTGGTGGTGGTGGTCTGAAACCTGACTGAACTGTAGCCGATTGTGACGGCCTCTGCTGTGACCCTCTGCCACTAATGGTGCCTGCTCTCTGACTCGGACAATCACGAATCAAGTGACCCTGCTGCCCACACCCATAACAAGCCTTCGGAGCTGACGGAACTGAAGACGATCTCATCGGACAACTGGACTTGTAATGTCCGGGCTGCTGACACTGATAACAAACAACTGCACTCTAGTCAGATCCAGCTGGCATAGGAGTGGTAGGAGTAGATCTTGTAGACTGTTGCCCCTGAAACTGAGATGGATTGCCCCTGTTCCTTTTCCAAGAAGATCCCTCTAAGGATGGCCCTGCACCCCTCTTTTGCTTCAATTACTCTCTTCTTGCATCCTTCTCTCTATTATCAGCCTCCAGCATCAAAACCCTTTCCACTGCTTCAGAGTAAACCTTAATAAACTGTGCCGTGATCAACGGCCTCATTAAATCATTAAGACCCGAGATAAACTTTCGAGTCTTGTTAGCTTCATCTCTCACCACTTCTGGAGCAAAACGGGAGAGTGAGGTGAACTTGTTCTCATACTCCGCCACTGACATGTTCCCTTGATTAAGATTATGAAACTGGTCTTGTAACTCCCATCTTTTAGAAAGCGAAAAGTACTTTTCATAGAACAGTTCCTTGAACCTGTCCCAACTCATCTCGTCAATCTTATACTGGTTAGTGATCGACTTCCACCAAACCTTGGCATCCATAGTAAACTTGTAAGTTACTAGGATGATCTTCAAGTGATCCTCTGTCACATCCATTGAGGTCAACTGAGTTTCGACTTGATCCATGTAGTTGTCGGCTACCATTGGATCCGCACCGCCCTCAAACATAACCAGCATCAGCTGAGAAAACCCCTTAATGATCTTGAGACGCTTCTGAGCTGGAGTCTCCTCAACTCGAACAGTAGCTTGTGGTACCAACTGCGGTTGAGCAACAATCGTTGCCCTCACGACATTTTGCAACAAATGATTAAACTCCAGTGCCACAGAACCTTCACCCACTTCTACGGGTACGGGTGTTTCAACATTCTCTCTTCTTGGGGGAACAGCTCTTGGGGGAATCAAGTCCCTAAGAAGCATGTTCTCTTCAACTAGCTCTGCCAGATTGGAGCTAGAGCTCTCACCAACATCGCCCCTTGTTGGCCTATGGCGAACTTCTCTAGGTTCCTCACGCCGTGACATCGTGCTATAAAACGAGAAAACGATTCAGAAACATCACACTAAGGTCCACTGTGGACGACTCAACAAGAATTAATACCGTACAACACTTAGCATGCAAGACCATGCAAGAAACATTTTAACATAAATAAGTAAGCAAATAAGCACATAGGCAGTTAAGCATGCTCATTTAAATATGATACCACGTAGCAAGTAGTCAAGTAAGCAACACAAACAACATTCCATGCGACTCTATGTAGGCCTCTACCCGTCGTCCTAAAGGTTTTCGAACCTTTGCTCTGATACCAAATTTGTAACGACCCTAGCTGATGCCAAGAATTTTACAAAAAATTCGGCATAACCTCCCCTAAAAATAGGCCTACCATACCCTGTTTAAATTCATTTTTTACCTATCATGGCTCAAATTCCGAATTCATGGCAACAGTATATGATCATACACAATCAAATAACACCGATAATTACTTTAACTAAAATTATCCTTCCCATTCATCAACAAGGTTACATGACAAAGTTTTGCAAAATATACATATATACCTTTATACTTTTAGTGCTTTGCAAAAATAATGGGAAATATACAAAAGACACAAAAGTGAGCTTCTAGTATCGCTCAAGCTTGAGGTGGGTTGTCGTCCACCGATTCTTTTCCAAGACTTGAAAAAAAATGTATAAATAGTAGGGTGAGCTATATGCTCAGTTGGTGACACTTAAGACACAAATCTTGTGTCCTTGTGAATTCAAGCAAAGTATAGGCCAATGGGAGATAGGGATCATACAACGTAGGGGATCAAATACAACATACAAGTCAATTCTAAGTATAAACAATGCAATGCAATGAAATGACATGCAATGCATGTCAATGACACTCCCCATTTTCATTCTCAAAATCATCACTTTCAAACGTTAATACAGCCCGCCCTTTGGTAACCCCGCCGCGACACGAAAGGAGGATTGGCTAGTGTCCCTGACCCTTAGTAACCCCGCGGCGTCATTATGGGGCCCAGCTAGCTCAACCACGCTAGGGCGACTCCCTAGTCCCCTCTAGGCTATATTAACCTCCGGCCCGTTGGTAACCCCGCAGCGACCGGGTTTCGCATAAAACCATTTTATCAAAAATACTTCCCTGAAATTCCCCATATTTATTTCAAGAACAATTTCTCCCATTTCATGCAAACCCAATGGTATGTGCATGTATATATGTTCCATACATTCAATGTCATGGCATTTAAAATTTTCCATCATAATATTAAACATTCAACATGTTCAACATCTCCCAAGTAATTATTAACACATTAAAATACAACAAAATACATTTAAGCATGTGCATGTATATATATATATGAGCTCAACATCATGAATTGGGAAATTTGGCGCAATTTAAATAAGCATACTCTCAAACATCAATTTCAGCATGCTAGCACATAGTAAACATAGGAAATCAACAACTAAATATAATTTGCACATGAACCAACCATATTCAAGATCGTGAAAACCCTCTAGACATCATTAATACCATCATAGATATAATTAACTCTAAATTAAGCATATTTAATACAACATGGAGGTAAAATTCACAATAGAACAAAACTAGAGTGGATTAAGATGCCCTTACCTCAAAATAGGCAAAACCCCAGAAATGGGTTTAAATTTTAGAGTTCCAAAGAAGGCTCAAAACTGGAAATTGCTTGCATCAACGCGTAAAGCTCGTCACACTCGTCGTTTTGCCTCAAACGGCACCTAAATCCGGCAAGTAATGAAGATGGAATCAAGGATTGAAGTTGAAAAAGAAAAAAGAAAAGAAAAAAGCAGAAGCAGCGAGAGAATGAGAGATACGAGCTGCCGAGAGAGAAAACAATTTGGAAATAAATGGGTCTGCAATGACCCTTATAACTCAAGTGGGTCCCACAGTTGAAAAGTCAAAAACTTTACATTCTCCCCAACTTCAAAAAAGATTTCGTCCCCGAAATCAAGACATACCTAGGGAAGAAAACAACGCTGGGTACTTGGACCGAACCTCCTGTTCGAGCTCCCAAGTAGCCTCCACGACTCCGTGGTGTCTCCAAAGGACTTTCACCATTAGTATCATCTTGTTCCTCAACACCTTCTGTTGTGTGTCAAGAATCTGAACTGGTCCTTCCTCGTAGGAAACATCCTCATCAATGTCCACATCAACATAACTCAAAATGTGAGATGGATCTGGCTCGTACTTTCGTAACATCGATACATGGAAAACATTGTGGACCCTATCCAACTGTGGTGGCAAAGCAAGCTTGTAGGCAACCTCTCCTACTCGGTCCAAAATCTCAAACGGTCCAATATATCGTGGCGACAACTTGCCACTTTTCCCGAATCTCATCAATCCCTTCCGTGGAGAAACCCGTAGAAAAACATGGTCTCCCACCTCAAAGGATAACGGTCGTCTCCGCTTATCCGCATAGCTCTTCTGTCGGCTCTGAGCTGTAAATAACCTCTGTCTTATCAACTTAATCTTCTTAGTAGTCTCGAGTACAATGTCGGGTCCTAAGGCGGCTGTCTCACCTACCTCAGTCCAACAAACAGGAGACCTACAAGGTCTACCATACAACGCCTCAAATGGAGCCATCTGGATGCTCGCCTGATAACTGTTGTTGTAGGCAAACTCAATAAGTGGAAGGTGATCCTCCCAACTACCTCCCAAATCAAGTACACATGCCCGAAGCATATCCTCCAAAATCTGGATCGTACGCTGCGACTGACCGTCCGTCTGTGGATGGAATGCCGTACTAAGATGCAACGCTGAACCAAACGCTACTTAAAGTCCTTCCCAGAACTTCGAAGTGAACTTAGCATCCTTATCTGACACAATGGTTACAGGAACTCCATGCAACCTTACAATCTCCTTCACATAAATAACACCAAGCTTCTCTGCATCATCTGTTGCCTTAATAGGCAAAAAGTGAGCCGTCTTGGTCAATCTGTCAATGATGACCCATACGGCCTCATTGCCCCTCTATGACCTTGGAAAACCTGTCATAAAATCCATAGCAATATGCTCCCATTTCCATTGCGCTACAGGTAATAGTTACAACAAACCAGTTGGCCTCTGATGCTCGGCCTTCACCTGCTGACAGGTAAGGCATCTAGCCACAAACTGTGCAACATCATTCTTCATCCCGCTCCACCAATACTGACGTCTCAAATTGTGATACATTTTAGTACCACCTGGATGAACTGCAAAACGGGAAGTGTGAAACTCCCGTAAGACATCCTCACGACAAACTGTGGGAACCACCAACAAACCCCTGAACCGTAGACCCCCATCTGCATGCAAAGCCCAATCTTTCACTGTCTCACCACTAGAGATCAAAGCGTGGATGGCATCTAAGTCCGAGTCGTGTCTCTGTGACTCAATCACTCGTACAACAAGAGTAGGCTGAGCCACAAGACTAAATAAGAATACCTACTCACTGCAACCATCATCATCACAACACTATAATCCTATCTCTACCAGATCTTCAAGCATCTTCCACTTCCGAATAGCTAAACTGGCCAAAGTTCCACGAGATTTTCAGCTTAAGGCATCAGCTATAACATTTGCCTTGCCCGGATGATACTGCAAATCAAAGTTGTAATCTTCTAAGTACTCAACCCATCGTCTCTGTCTGTTGTTCAAGTTCTTTTGGGAGAAAAGGTACTTGAGACTTTTGTGATCTGAAAATACCTCGAATCTCTCACCATACAAGTAGTGTCTCCAACACTTCAAGGCAAACACAACTGCCGCTAACTCCAAATCATGAGTAGGGTAGTTAAGCTCGTGAGTCTTCAACTATCGAGACCCATAAGCCACTACTCTACCATCTTGCATCAACACACATCCCAACCCGTCACGTGAAGCATCACAATAGATCACATAACCCAAGCCACGCTCAGGTATCACCAACACTGGAGCTGTAGTCAATCTCGTCTTCAACTCCTGAAAAGATGAATCACAGGCCTCATTCCAGACAAACTTGACCCCTTTCCGGGTCAAACAGGTCATAGGAGCTGCCAAACGGGAGAAATCCTTCACAAATCTCCGATAGTAACCCGCTAAACCAAGAAAACTGCGGATCTCAAACACATTCTTGGGTCGCTCCCAAGTCAAAACTGCTTCAACCTTTGATGGATCAACTGATACTCCACCTTCTGAAACAACATGCCCCAAAAACTTCACCTCCTGTCGCCAAAACTCACATTTCTCGTATTTGGCATACAATCGGTGTTCCCGCAAAATCTGTAAAACAATACTCAAATGGACCTCGTGATCTTCCCGAGTCCGTGAGTACACAAGAATGTCATCCACGAAAACTACCACAAACTGGTCCAAGTAATCGTGAAAGACGCGGTTCATCAAGTCCATGAATGCCGCTGGCGCATTAGTCAAGCCAAAAGGCATAACAAGGAACTCATAGTGTCCATACCATGTGCGGAATGCTGTCTTTGGGATATCCTCATCCCTAACCCGCAACTGATAATAGCAAGACCTTAAGTCAATCTTCGAGAAACAACTGGCTCCCCTCAACTGATCAAATAAATCATCTATCCTTGGCAAAGGATACTTGTTCTTGATGGTGGCATGATTCAACTTCCGATAATCAATGCACAACCTCAACGAACCATCTTTCTTCTTAGCAAACAAGACCGGTGCGCCCCACGGTGACACACTCGGTCGGATGAAACCTTTCATCCTCAAATCATCAAACTGCCTCTTCAATTCTTCCAGTTCAACTGGTGCCATACGATACGGTGCCATAGAAATTGGCGCGGTACCTGGCATTAACTCAATAGAGAACTCCACTTCTCAGTGTGGAGGCAACTCTGTCAAATCTTCTGGAAAAACATCCAAGAAGTCACAAACAATCGCCGGATAAACTTCTCCCATGACATCATCTTCTTCGGCTAGAAGACTAGCTAAGAAATAATCACCATGACTTCGTCCACGAACTCCATAAAACGATGAAATATGGGAATCACTCCGATCTCCCACGAAAAAGAAACAGTCTCCCTCGGAAGTGCAAACTGTAACCCTTCCTCTGTAACAGTCAATCGTGGCATGAAATGAAGCCAACCAATCCATCCCAAGAATGACATCAAAGCTAGTCATCTCCAGGAGGAAAAGGTTAAACACGAAAGTCCGCCCGACTATCACAATGGGACACTCCCGCACAATTCGGCTCAAAGACACTGAAACCCCAACTGGCGTATCAACACTCAACGCCCGTTCCAAGAAACTAACTTCCAACCCCGATGCAAGTGCAAATGATGATGAAATGAAAGAAAGAGATGCACCAGAGTCAAATAAAACATGGGCCCAACAACCAAACACTGGAAATATACCTCGAAGGATTGACGGTCCAGAAGATGCATCAGTCTATGCCAGTGCAAAAACACGTCCCTGTGGTACCTGTGCCTGAGGACTGCCAACCTGAACACCTGACTGCTGCACTGACATAGTAGGAGTATCCCTCCTAACTGATCGTGAACCCTACGAAGACATAGTAAGCTGTGGTGGTGGTGGTCTGAAACCTGGCTGAACTGTAGCCGATTGTGACAGCCTCTGCTGTGACCCTCTGCCACTAATGGTGCCTGCTCTCTTACTCGGACAATCACGAATCAAGTGACCCTGCTGCCCACACCCATAACAAGCCTTCGGAGCTGACGAAACTGAAGACGATCTCATCGGACAACTGGACTTGTAATGTCCGGGCTGCTGACACTGATAACAAACAACTGCACTCTAGTCAGATCCAGCTGGCATAGGAGTGGTAGGAGCAGATCTTATAGACTGTTGCCCCTGAAACTGAGATGGACTGCCCCTGTTCCTTTTCCAAGAAGATCCCTCTGAGGATGGCCTTGCACCCCTCTTTTGCTTCAATTGCTCTCTTCTTGCATCTTTCTCTCTATTATCAGCCTCCAGCATCAAAGCCCTTTCCACTGCTTCAGAGTAAACCTTAATAAACTGTGCCGTGATCAACGGCCTCATTCGATCATTAAGACCCGAGACAAACTTCTGAGTCTTGTTAGCTTCATCTCTCACCACTTTTGGAGCAAAACGGGAGAGTGAGGTGAACTTGTTCTCATACTCCGCCACTGACATGTTCCCTTGAATAAGATTATAAAATTGGTCTTGTAACTCCCATCTTTTAGAAAGCGGAAAGTACTTTTCATAGAACAGTTCCTTGAACTTGTCCCAACTCATCTCGTCAATCTTATACTGGTTAGTGATCGACTTCCACCAAACCTTGGCATCCATAGTAAACTTGTGTTGCTAGGATGATCTTCAAGTGATCCTCTGTCACATCCATTGAGGTCAACTGAGTTTTGACTTGATCCATGTAGTTGTCGGCTACCATTGGATCTGCATCGCCCTCAAACATAACCGGCATCAGCTGAGAAAACCCCTTAATGATCTTGAGACGCTTCTGAGCTGGAGTCTCCTCAACTTGAACTGTAGGTTATGGTACCAACTGCGGCTGAGCAACAATCGTTGCCCTCACGACATTTTGCAACAAACGATTAAACTCCAGTGCCACAGAACCTTCACCCACTTCTACGGGTACGGGTGTTTCAACATTCTCTCTTCTTGGGGGAACAGCTCTTGGGGGAATCAAGTCCCTAAGAAGCATGTTCTCATCAACTGGCTCCGCCGGATTGGAGCTAGAGCTCTTACCAACATCGCCCCTTGTTGGCCTAGGGCCAACTTCTCTAGGTTCCTCACGCCGTGACATCGTGCTATAAAACGAGAAAACGATTCAGAAACATGACACTAAGGTCCACTGTGGACGACTCAACAAGAATTAATACCGTACAACACTTAGCATGCAAGACTATGCAAGAAACATTTTAACATAAACAAGTAAGCAAGTAAGCACATAGGCAGTTAAGCATGCTCATTTAAATAAGATACCACATAGCAAGTAGTCAAGTAAGCAACACAAACAACATTCCATACGACTCTATGTAGGCCTCTACCCGTCGTCCTAAAGGTTTTCGAACCTTTGCTCTGATACCAAATTTGTAACGACCCTAGCTGATGCCAAGAATTTTACAAAAAATTCGGCATAACCTCCCCTAAAAATAGGCCTACCATACCCTGTTTAAATTCATTTTTTACCTATCATGGCTTAAATTCCGAATTCACGGCAACAGTATATGATCATACACAATCAAATAACACCGATAATTACTTTAACTAAAATTATCCTTCCCATTCATCAACAAGGTTACATGACAAAGTTTTGCAAAATATACATATATACCTTTATACTTTTAGTGCTTTGCAAAAATAATGGGAAATATACAAAAGACACAAAAGTGAGCTTTTAGTATCGCTCAAGCTTGAGGTGGGTTGTCGTCCACCGATTCTTTTCCAAGACCTGAAAAAAAATGTATAAATAGTAGGGTGAGCTATATGCTCAGTATGTGACACTTAAGACACAAATCTTGTGTCCTTGTGAATTCAAGCAAAGCATAGGCCAATGGGAGATAGGGATCATACAACGTAGGGGATCAAATACAACATACAAGTCAATTCCAAGTATAAACAATGCAATGCAATGAAATGACATGCAATGCATGTCAATGACACTCCCTATTTTCATTCTCAAAATCATCACTTTCAAATGTTAATACAGCCCGCCCTTTGGTAAACCCGCCGCGACACGAAAGGAGGATTGGCTAGTGTCCCTGACCCTTGGTAACCCCGCGGCGTCATTATAGGGCCCAGCTAGCTCAACCACGCTAGGGCGACTCCCTAGTCCCCTCTAGGCTATATTAACCTCCGACCCGTTGGTAACCCTGCAGCGACTGGGTTTCGCATAAAACCATTTTATCAAAAACACTTCCCTGAAATTCCCCATATTTATTTCAAGAACAATTTCTCCCATTTCATGTAAACCCAATGGTATGTGCATGTATATATGTTCCATACATTCAATGTCATGGCATTTAAAATTTTCCATCATAAAATTAAACATTCAACATGTTCAACATCTCCCAAGTAATTATTAACACATTAAAATACAACAAAATACATTTAAGCATGTGCATGTATATATATATATGAGCTCAACATCATGAATTGGGAAATTTGGCGCAATTTAAATAAGCATACTCTCAAACATCAATTTCAGCATGCTAGCACATAGTAAACATAGGAAATCAACAACTAAATATAATTTGCACATGAACCAACCATATTCAAGATCGTGAAAACCCTCTAGACATCATTAATACCATCATAGATATAATTAACTCTAAATTAAGCATATTTAATACAACATGGAGGTAAAATTCACAATAGAACAACACTAGAGTGGATTAAGATGCCCCTACCTCAAAATAGGCAAAACCCTAGAAATGGTTTAAATTTTCGAGTTCCAAATAAGGCTCAAAACTGGAAATTGCTTGCATCAACGCGTAGAGCTCGTCACACTCGTCGTTTTGCCTCAAACGGCACCTAAATCCGGCAAGTAATGAAGATAGAATCAAGGATTGAAGTTGAAAAAGAAAAAAGAAAAGCAAAAAGCTGAAGCAGCGAGAGAGAGAGATATGAGCTACCGAGAGAGAAAACAATTTGGAAATAAATGGGTCTGCAATGACCCTTATAACTCAAGTGGGACCCACAGTTGAAAAGTCAAAAACTTTACAAGTCGATCCTTCACGATCATCAATACGACGAGAATTTGGCGGCAAATTGTTTGGCCGGACTTCCTTACGGTGAAGATCTGTCAGATTGTTCCCTACCTCCTTGCCGTGATGTGCCGCATCGGTACGTGCAACTTTTTCTCTTACCGAGAGCAGTCGCGGAATCACCGAAACTTCTTGACGCTGCATTTCAGTCCTTAGATCCGCATTTTCTCTCTGGAGAGCTTCGATCATGTTCATCAACTCATCAACTTTCATCTGCTGGACGTTCTCTACCGTATTGGAGTTTTCGCCCCCTATCATGATTCCAGAGCGAAGCAAAGGCATGAATTACGAATTCCTAAACAGAACTGAGCGTCACCGATGAGAATTCCGTTAGATCTGGACCCAACTTCACCGAATCGTGGTCACCGTTTGCTAGATTTGAGCTTTTCTGGCTTTGAACTCACCGGATCCGACTGCAATTGAACAAATCACAGTTGCATAATTCCGAAGCAAATGCCTCAGAATCAACAATAAGCAAGAATCTTCTGAATAAACTACAATCTCGCTGATCTGGATTCAACTTCCAGAAATCAAACTGTGTGTTCACAAATTTGATTGAACTAACATGATACTGATCAAACTTGAATCGATTTTCTTCGTCGTTCCCACAGACGGTGCCAATTGAAGATGCAAGAAATTCACTCCTCTTTCTCTCTCTAGAATTCTTACACTTCAACAAAAAATAAACTCTAAAATATTCCCCTCTTATCCACTCGTAATGGTCTATTTATAGACCATTCCAAATACTCTAATCAACTTATTACATAGGGCTCCTATTCAAGGGCTTTCTTCCTTTTGGGCCTGACTTTCCAATGGGTTTGGTCCTCTTCAGTGGATCCTCCAAGCTCAGCCCATTCCGTGGTGCTTTTGTATGGGCCATACTTCAATTGTTCGCCCCGATCCCATGCCAGCGAGCCATAACCGGCCCATACCACTTATTGCATCCTCAAAAGTCGATCTCTCAACTTTTGAAACTCAATCATTTTACTGTTACTTATTACAACTTGAGCGGAACAGTGATGCTAGATGTATTCCTAAACCTAAAAAATCTTATTCATCTTAGACTAGCATATAATCAACTAACAGTACTCACCAGTAGTAGCTCTATAAATGGCAATGCTACACTAACCCCCAAGTTTGAGTACCTGGGTTTGGCCTCGTGCAACTTAGCTTTTCCAGATTTCTTGAGTAATCAACATGACTTGCAGTTGCTAGGCCTTGCTGACAACAGAATTCAAGTGCTCGTGCCTAAATTGATATGGAACATGAGTACAGAAACTTTGTGGTTATGGACCTTTATCATAACTTTCTAACTGGCTTTGACCAACCTCCTTTAGTGCTTCCTTGGGTTAGACTGCACATTTTAAACCTTAGTTCTAACATGCTGCAAGGATCACTTCCGACTCTACCCTTGTCCACCATTGTTTATAATGTCTCAGACAACAAACTAGATGGAGAGATTTCACAACTGATCTGCAATTTGAGTTCTCTATATGCCCTTGATTTATCTTACAACTACTTCAGTGGCATTATTCCCCAATGCTTGGGAAGCTCTACTGATTCTCTGTCAATATTGAATCTTCGAAACAATAATCTTAGTGGCCCCATTCCTCAAATATACGAAAGAGGAAGCAAACTAAAAATCGTCGATTTGAGTCAAAACCAAATTGCACGGGATGGTGCCAAGATCTTTGGTGAACTGTTCCATTTTAGAGATTTTAAATCTTGGGGACAATCAAATCAATGATATTTTCCCCATTTGGCTAGGAACTCTTTCTGAGTTGAAGGTTCTCATTCTGCATGTCAATAGATTTCATGGTGCAATAAGGCAACCTGAATCGAGCTTTGCTTTTCCCAAGTTGCACATCATTGACCTTTCTCATAACAGTTTTACAGGGGAGCTGCCTTCAAATTACTTCCAAACCTGGGGAGCGATGAAAGTCGTTGACAATAATCAGTCATATTTGCAGGCAAGGAAAGAGTTAACTAAATTTGGTTGGCAGGTAAATTACAGTTACTCAATGACAGTAACAAACAAAGGGGTGCAAATAATATATTTGAAGATCCTGAATATCTTTACTGTCATTGATCTCTCCAGTAACCAATTCGAAGGAAAGGTTTCAGAATCTATTGGGATTCTTAAGGGGCTTCACGTTCTCAATCTTTCCGACAATAATCTTATTGGCCAAATCCCATCTTCCTTGGGGAACCTAACAGAGCTTGAATCATTAGACCTTTCTCAAAACAAGCTCTCAGGAGAGATACCTCAACAACTAATCCCACTCACATTCCTTGCAATCTTCAATGTCTCATAATCATCTCACTGGTCCTATTCCATGAGGAAGACAATTTGATAAATTTCAAAACAGTTCGTATGAGGCCCTTTGTCAAAGAAATGTGGCAATTTAGAAGCATCACTGCCACCACCACCTTCAAAATTCAAGCATGGTTTCCAATTGATAATACTGTTTGGATTGTCATATGCATGGGCTATGGAGGTGGGTTAGTAGTTGGGCTGATCATTGGGCACGCTCTGACAACAAGGTATCATGAATGGTTTGTCAGCACCTTTGGAAGGAACCAAAAGAAACACTTGTAAATTCATAGGAAAAGATGAGGGTCCGATTGATGATTGGAACAATTTATGAGTAACCAATGTCAAGAGACCTATTCCAAATAAAAGGAGAAATTGAGTGATTGCTTTCAATCCTAGGGCTTAAGGTGATAGAGTTCAGTCACTTTGTGACAAGAAGACCATTGAAGCTAGTAGAAAAGATTGATGGGGAAGAGACTAATTGTAGGAAATCGGAATGCTCATGACAAACATTGATGATGAATGATTCAAATGCAAAGTGTGGAGAGACAGATTTAACTAAAACGTAGTTGTGAGGGAGATTAATTAAGGAATAAGACATAATTGGTTGTGTTTTAAAATGAGACATGAATGAATGTAGCAGAATATGGTATTGAGAGAGGTTAAGTAAAGCAAATGTTTCAGATCGATGTACATACAATTGGCTATATTATATCCAAACATGACATTTGCCAAATTATGCCACGTAGACCAATTAGGACAATCCAAAAGAGGGGTTTTAGTGCTCAAACACTCAGAAATTTTGAGATAATTGTGAAGACCGATTTATAAGACTGAATTTGATATTCAAATTATTCTAACTTTGGTCTTACTATTGGAAATATAAAAATCAGTCAACTGAATGGTTGATACCATGTAATTTGGATGCAGAGTAAATGGTTTTAGAGTAAATGGTTTTATTATTATTATTTTTTTCCCGGAAGTTAAGCAGAGTAAATGATTGATAAACATTACACAACAAACATTACAGGGCAACGTGATTTTAACATTGCTGAATAGAAATAAACCTATTTAGCCAGGAGGATTGATTGCATAATTAAGAAAGCTAAAATATATTTGTCAGGAAAAATAGAAGAAAACGTAGAGGTTTGGGACACGTGTTGACTAAAGAAATAATCAATGGAACTATCTTAAATCACCAACACTCTTGTTATTAAGTGGATCTTGCAACATTTCTATAGTAAATTTGAACAAGTTAGAATGGAGAAGATGGTGGATGATTTTTATTTCCATGTATTTATATCTTAAATATTTCCATCTTCTTTTTCTAGTTATGAACTTGTTGTTTGAAAAGTTTTCGTTATATACGTTCTTTCTTTCTCAATTTCTGATTTTTGGGTTAAGCTTTATAGGGATTTTCCTGAGAAAGCAAGACTGGGAAGAAAAAGTCTTTTTTGGTATTTGGTCTTTTTGTTAGAAGGAAAATTGTACTTTAACCGACAAGTGACATTGTGAGTTGGACTATCAGTACGCCTATAAATGGATCGGATTCGAATTGGATTTCTTATAATCCATATTTGATTTGTTTAACTAAAGGATTAACGGATTGAATTTCCCAATCCATATCTTAATTATTGTCTCCAATTCGGATTTGGATAAAAATCGGATCCATTGATATGTCTAGTTATAAAATTAGGTGCAGTGGAGTGGAGAGTTGTTAACATATAAAATGATGCATCATATAATTGTGCTACGAAATGAATCTAAAAGTAGATAATTAATATATATAAATTTAATGGTAGATAACTAGTATATATAACATACACATATAGTATATTTTAATGTAATGTTTCAAATTTTACCATTTTTTGGAACTTTTTAATTTTTTGAGGGTATTTTCGTCTTTTTTCGTTTTGCGTGCCGGACACCGTGGGGTGTGCCGGTTGTGTCCGAGTGTTGGTTGGGACATTTCATTGTGTTCATGACTCTTTGAAATGCAAGGTTTGTCATTTTTGTATTTTTCCGTTTTTCCTGCCGAAAGGTCCCGTGTGGGACCCGCTACCGGAATTGCCATGTACGGGGGTGTTGTTTAAGTCCATTTTGCATCACATTTATTTTATTCAATGTGTTATATGTGGTGGAGAATTGTTATGTGTATGAAAATATATATATATATATAGAATTGTGGTGTAAAAATAAAAAAAAAAAAGAAAAATTTTAATTAAAAGTGGTGGGATCCACCACTTATACAAATTGTGGCCAAAAGGCTATGTTGGCCTCACATTTTTTCCCACTCCCGTAAGCTCTCTTTCTCTCCCCCTTTTTGGTCCATTTTATTTTTCTTTTCAAAACAAAAATTTAATCCTTAATTTCTCCTTCATCTTTTGGTATTTTTGGGAGCTGTTTGCGGCAAAACGAAGAGTGCGTCGAGATCTATGATTTGATCGAAGCAAAAGTGGTTTTGGTGCACTCTAGGGATTTCGAATTTAGGACCCATTTTGAGGGTTTTTCTACAAAATTGAGGTACGTGGATTCACGGAGTTATAAGAGGTGTGTCTTATGCACCTCTTACTGAGTGTTTATGTAATGTTTCTAAATTTTATCATTTTTCAATTTCTGAAATTTTCTGATTTTTTGAGGGTATTCTCGTCTTTTCTCATTTTACATGCCGGACATCATAAGGTGTGCCGGGTGTGTCCGAGAGTTAATTAGGGTATTTCATTGAGTTCAGGACTCTTTGAAATGCAATGATTGTCATTTTTGCATTTTTCAGTTTTTCGGGCCTGACTGTCCTGTGTGGGACCTGTTACCAGAGTTGTTGTGTATGGTAGTTATCTCTCGGGTCATTTGTATACCATGCATTATTATTATTTTTTTGCCTAAGTAAATTGTTAAAGTGCTAAATTGTGTGGCTATGATATAATTAGAGCTTATATGTATAATTTATGATGGAAAATAAATCAAAAAGGAAATTATTTTTGGTGGTGGGACCCACCACCACATTAAGTGGCCAAGAGGCCATGTTTGGCCTCCATTCTCCTCCCTCTTTCCCACAAGTCTCTCTCCCTCCTTCACTTTCTAGACTTTCCTTTTTCTTTTAATTTCCAATTTTTCCAACTTTGATTTCTCCTTCATCTTTTGGAGTTTTTAAGTGCCATTTGCGGCAAATTGAAGAGCACGATAAGATCTACGATTTGATCCGAGAAATTTCTAGTTTGGTGCACCATGGAATTTCGAAATTGAGGCTAGGAATTGGGGATTTTTTCTTAATTGGAGGTAGGGGTTCCTAATCCATGAAATTCTTGTTCCCTTGTGAATTTTTCTTTGCTAATTATAGCCAAGCATGCTTAATTTGAAATGATTGCTTCCAAAATGATTTAGTTGTTGTATATGAAGCTTATGATTATGTGTATAATTTGATTTGTGTGAAATGCATGCTTAATTGTGATTAACTCTTGAATGATTTGTCTATCTATGTGAAATTTTATGTGTAGAGGATATTTGTGTAAGTAGTTTGTGGAATTGTTGTGAGAATCATGCTTACGTGGATTTGTTTTCACATACTTTGTGCTTAACATGCTAAAATTTTTATTTGCTTTAAAGCATGATACGTTATTTGTGTTATTGTAAAGCATGTTAGGTGGTTAAGCTTAAATTAAAAGCATGATAATGAATATTGACATGGCATGAGATGGTATGATACATTCATGCATGAGCATTGGGAAGAAATGGGGAAAAGATTTGAAAAGGGAAGAAAAATGATTTTTGGTAAATGTTTTGAAAAGTGTTTGCAAAAACCCAGACGCCTAGGAGGCGCCTAGTGGTCCGTGGTGTTAATGTAGTCTAGAAGGGAGTATGGTTGAGCTAACTAGGCCGGATGTGACGCCTTGGAGGTGCCTTGTGGTCGTGGATAGTTAGCCAACCCTCCATTCGTAATGCCTTGGAGGTGCCTTGTGTCGGATTACACTAACGGTTTGGATGTTGAAACGGAAATGTTTCGGAAAATGGGGAGCGGCATGAGCATGGCATTGCACTTCATTGGCATACATGGCGTGATTGTGACTTGGATTGTTTGCTATTGATATTATAGTTATCTTTCTCCTCCGAGTTGTATGATCCCGTTTTCTTTGCTCTTTTCATTGTTTGGAATTCACGAGGTTACAAGAGGTGTGTCTTAGGCACCTCCTACTGAGCTTTATGCTCACCCCTGTATATTTAACATTTTCAGGGCATGGAAAAGAAGTGGTGGGCAATAATCCACCACAGCCTTAGCTTGGACTAAAAGACTGTCTAATTTGTTATATTTTGGCGTCTAAGCCTCATTTTGCAAAGAATTGGCACAATATATATTATTTTGTAATAACTAAAATGAACTGGTATTATTTTGAAATTGTCACTGAAGTGGAGTGACTATTCTTTTGGATACATACATATATATATAAATATATGTATATTTTGACGTATTTAGAGATGTAATAAAGATAAATAAATAAATAACCTTACTAAATCCTTTTGGTGTATTTTTCTTGGAACGTGTTATGTATTATCCAAAATTTTTGTTACCAATGTTGTTATTGCATTGGGTGTTGAAATGTATATAAATATGTACGTGGGTATGGTGGACAGTTGCATTTAAGTGTGGATAACCCAGAACCAGTCGACGTGAAATTCCCACACGTCGACCGGATGACCTGAACTAGTCGACATGAAATTCCCACACGTTGACCGGCATCTTGGCAGTAGCTGTTTCACTGTGCATAACCCAAACCAGTTGACGTGTAATGCATGCACGTTGACCGGTTCCTGTTCCTCACATTTTTTGTTTAATTTCTCTGATTATCATTTTATTCAAAGTTACGAGTATTTATTTTAGGACCCAATAAAATTTAATAATTATTTTTTGTTATCACAGAAAAGACTATATTGCCCCGAACTCTATCTTATTTATTAAGTGACATAAGTAAATGACCATTATGCCCCTTTGAGTCTCAGACCATTAGA